CTGGGGTGGACAAGGTCAGAAGTCACACAAGATCAGATTATAGTCCAGTTTCTTTCCCTAAAGGACATTAGTGAACCAGATGGGTTTTTCCCTGGCAATCAACAATGGATTCACAGTCATCATTAGATTCTTAATTCCAGATATTTATTGAATTCAAATTCCACCATCTGCCATGGCAGGATTCAAACCCCGGTCCCCAGAAGGTTGTCTGGGGCTCTGGATTAATAGTCCAGCAACAATATCACTAGGCCATCGCCTCCCCTTACGGAGTATTACTGACTATTTTCCTTCTGTTTAGTTGTGTTAGAATGCTAAACTAGGAAGCTATCCATACAATGGGTGATTTCTTGTTTAGTTCTAATATCCATCTATCATAATCTATTTTGATCAACTAGTCACTGCCAACCTAAACCTTTCTTTGAAGCTGCAAATGTCCTATCAAAATAACTGTTCACTTCCTTTTGCTTACTACTAAAATTAACATTCATTGCCCAATCCTATTTCACAAGATGTCCTAACTCATCACTCACTCACTTATTCCACATCCTCAATGACTTATACTGGCTTCTAGTCATGCAGCTAATTGCATCAAAACTCCTCTTCATCATTAATTTGGCTCACCTCCACTCCTTATTCTCAATTTATCTTGCATCAGATCCACCATTCTCTCAAAACTGACATTTGGTACATTCCTCTACCATTGTTGCTGAATCACCACATCCAGTCCAAACTTCACTTTTAAAAATATATTGAAAACACAATTATTGGATCATCCTTTCTAATCACAGTATAGCTTGTCGTCTGGAACCATGTTGCAATTTTTCTGATCTGTAAAATCATATGAAGAAAGCTACTTTTCCTCCAAGACCCTAATTTATTCCTCCCATGACCTCAAACCCCTTACTACCCTGGGATTTTAACTTTTTTCCCCTCCAATACAAAGGCTTTAAGGGCAATGTTTGGCATCACCTCATTTCTACATTCTAACTTGCTTCTCCAGCTCTGCATTCTTGGTTAGGTCCTCTGCTTTGGGCCTTTACCTGGTCCCTTATCTAGGATTTAAACATCAAATTCTCATCTTACAGGGTCAGAATCGGGTTGCAACTTGCTCAATTTTAAATGACGTTAACACTCGAGTCACAAATTGTTTTAAACAAATGTTTCCGCCACTTCACACTTCTCCCTCCCCCCACAGTTATTTAAATCACCAAAAAATTTGTGTTTTTTTCCCCAAAGGTTGTTTGGTGGTGATGTAGTAATTTTTCTCTCATTATCCGAAACACGACTTTTGTTTTTTTTGTTGGATCGTTTTTATTTGGAGGTCTTCAACAGGAGTATGTTTTTGAAGTTTAAAACAGTTCTCGTAAAGTGTTACCTTTCAGAACGGAGCCTTCGACTTCTTCCTCTTCCTGTAAAGAGCCAGAGAACAGGCCATTACACCGGACACCACATATACACACATCTTGAAGTTTTAGCAACTTCTTAAAGATCGCGAAAAAAAAGGGTTAACTTGCCAATAAGAGGCCGGGGTTTTGCTTCCTGAGGACGAGAAACAAAATGAGAGAGGCGACAAGCAGAAACACGGCGCAAATGCAGCTCAAAGGAAAACATCGGAGGCGGTCTGCGCCCATGTTAAAGTTGATTGTGAATATATTTGGGTATTATTTGCCTTTTGTTTTCTCTCTGAGAAAGTTAACAAATGAACAAAGGGAATTGTTTCAGGTGTTGGAGCAAGCTGAGGAAGGCTTGTTCTGTGAGTCAACCTGCTCCATGCACTCAGTCCGACCGAGCCCTCGCTCTGGGCACACTGCAGTCCCGCCCCCACCCACACCGGCACCGGGGAAGCTACTGCGGGAGGGAAAGGGCTGTGGGGGTGGGGGAGGAATGTTGCTGCTGCTGCTGCTCGAGTGGAGTGGGGAGTTCTCGCTGCTGGGGTACAGTGTAGCTGAAACCCACTGTAGCCCTCTAACACTCCGGGTAATCTGCGTGCCTGGAATGCGCCAGTTTTCTCAATTTAAACTCGGAATCCGGCTCGTCACAGATTTGTTCCCGCAGATGTTTTATTATTTCTCTCTCTCCATGCCAGTCACGTACAAAAGTACGATTTATGTATGCAGTTAGTCATCATCAGATAGAGGAGGGGAATAGAAATCGAGAGAGTGTTTTACAGAAAACATCATTGTAAAGCAGTTAAAGACTTTTCCCCTTGAATGTTTCAGCCCAGGCACGAGAGACCCCTTTCTTGCCTCGTCCCTTCAGTACCCATGTTCATGGACGAAATAGATTTTTGGGGGGTCGGGGAATCCAGGAGAACTAGCCATTTGGATACAAAATTGGCTCAAACGTATGGGACAGAGGGTGGTGGTGGAGGGTTGCTTATCAGATATTTGAATGCACCTCTCAAAATATTAATTCTGATCTAGCTGTCCGCACCTTCTCTGCAGCTGTAACGGTATATTCTGCACTCTGATCTGCTGCCCTCATGCATTTTGGTAAGATCTGCATGTATAGCATGCAAAACAACACTTTTCACAGTATCTCAGTACATGTGACAACAATAAATCAATAATTTAGTGGGCAACTTATTGGAAAGGGCTCTGAGAGATAGGATCTATGATTGAATCAGAGATAGTAGGAACTGCAGATACTGGAGAATCCGAGACAACAAGGTGCAGGGCTGGATGAACACAGCAGGCCAAGCAGCATCATAGGAGCAGAAAGGCTGACGTTTCGGGCCTAGACCCTTCATCAGAAAAGGGGGAGGGGAAGGGGGTTCTGAAATAAATAGGGAGAGAGTGGGAGGCGGATAGAAGATGGATAGAGGAGAGGATAGGTGGAGAGGAAACAAACAGGTCGAAGAGGCAGGGATGGGGCCAGGAAAGGTGAGTGCAGGTGGGGAGTTAGGGAGGGGATAGGTCAGTCCAGGGAGGACAGACAGGTCAAGGGGGCGGGATGAGGTTAGTCGGTAGGAGGTGGGGGTGCGGCTTGAGGTGGGAGGAGGGGATAGGTGGGAGGAAGAACAGGTTAGGGAGGCGGGGACGAGCTGGGCTGGTTTTGGGATGCGGTAGGGGGAGGGGAGATTTTGAAACTTGTGAAATCCACATTGATACCATTGGGCTGCAGGGTTCCCAGGCGGAATATGAGTTGCTGTACCTGCAACCTTCGGGTGGCATGGTTGTGGCACTGCAGGAGGCCCAGGATGGACGTGTCGTCTGAGGAATGGGAGGGGGAGTTGAAATGGTTCGCGACTGGGAGGTGCAGTTGTTTATTGCGAACCGAGCGTAGGTGTTCTGCAAAGCGGTCCCCGAGCCTCCGCTTGGGTTCCCCAATGTAGAGGAAGCCACACCGGGTACAGCGGATGCAGTATACCACATTGGCAGATGTGCAGGTGAACATCTGCTTGATGTGGAAAGTCTTCTTGGGGCCTGGGATGGGGGTGAGGGAGGAGGTATGGGGGCAGGTGTAGCACTTACTGTGGTTGCAGGGAAAAGTGCCAGGTGTGGTGGGGCTGGAGGGGAGTGTGGAGTGGACAAGGGAGTCACGGAGAGAGTGGTCCCTCTGGAAAGCAGATAAGGTTGGGGAGGGAAAGATGTCTTTGGTGGTGGGGTCGGATTGCAGATGGCGGAAGTGTCGGAGGATGATGCATTGGATCCGGAGGTTGGTGGGGTGGTACGTGAGGACGAGGGGGATTCTTTTTTGGTTCTTATTGCGAGGACGGGGTGTGAGGGATGAGTTGCGGGAGATGTGGGAGACACGGTTGAGGGCGTTCTCGACCACTGAGGGCAGGAAGTGGATCACTTGGATAGGCACAGTTTGATTCGTGATAGTCAGCATGGATTTGTGAGGGGTAGATCATGCCTCACAAGCCTTATTGAATTCTTTGAAGAGGTGACCAAACATGTGGATGAAGGTAGAGCAGTGAATGTGGTATACATGGATTTAAGTAAGGCATTTGATAAGGTTCCCCATGGTAGGCTCATGCAGAAAGTAAGGAGGCATGGGATAGGGGGAAATGTGGCAGATTGGATTCAGAATTGGCTGACGCCTAGAAGACAAAGGATGGTAGTGGATGGAAAATATTCAACATGGTGCTCAGTTACAAGTGGTGTACCAAAAGGATTTGTTCTGGGTCTTCTTCTATTTGTGATTTTTGTAAATAATTTGGATGTAGGAGTGGAAGGGTGGATTAGTAAGTTGGTGGACGATACGAAGGTGGGTCAAGTTGTGGATAGTGTGGAGGGCAGTTCTCGGTTACAAGGGACATTGATAGGATGCAGAGCTGGGCTGAGAAGTGGCAGATGGAGTTTAACCCTGAAAAGTGTGAAGTGATTCATTTTGGAAGGACAAACTTGGAAGTAGAATGCAGGGTTAATGGAAAGATTCTTGGCAGTGTGGAAGAGCAGAGGGATCTTGGGGTTCATGTCCACAGTTCCCTTAAAGCTGCCATCCAGGTGGATAGAGTTGTTAAGAAGGCATATGGTGTTAGCTTTCATTAATAGAGGGATTAAGTTCAAGAGCCGTGAAGTTATGCTCCAGCTATACAAAAGCCTGGTTCGGCCACATCTGGAGTATTGTGTCCAGTTCTGGTCGCCTCATTACAGGAAAGATGTGGAAGCATTAGAAAAGGTGCAGAGAAGATTTACCAGGATGTTGCCTGGAATGGAGGGAAGGTCTTATGAGGAAAGGTTGAGAGAGCTAGGGCTTTTCTCTTTAGAACGACGAAGGATGAGAGGCGACTTGATAGAAGTGTACAAAATGATCAGAGGTATAGATAGAGTGGACAGCCAGAGACTTTTTCCTAGGGTGGAGGTAGCTATTATGAGGGGACATAGTTTTAAAGTGAGTGGAGGTAGATATAGGGGAGAAGTCAGAGGTAGGTTCTTTATTCAGAGAGTGGTAGGGACGTGGAATGCATTGCCAGAGAGGGTAGTGGAGTCGGCCTCATTAGGGGCATTTAGATAGGCATATGGATGATAGTATAAGGTAGGGGTTTAGGTTAGATAGACCTTAGGTTTAGGGTAAAAGTTCGGCACAACATCATGGGCTGAATGGCCTGTACTGTGCTGTACTGATCTATGTTCTAAATCAAACAAAAACAAAAACTGCTGGAGAAACTCAGCAGGTCTGGCAGCATCTGTGGAGAAAGAAAACGGAGTTAATGTTTCGGGCAGGTCAGATGCTGCCCAGACCTGGTGAGATTTTCCAGCTGTTTCTGTTTTTGTTTTTTGAATCAGTCTGCTCTGATTCACTTATGAGCCAGACGATATTTGAACCCAGACAACCTTACCCACCAACAAGAACACTGTCAATGCACCACATGACCTTTCTTACTGTAACTTAAGAAGAAAGAAAGACCTTGAATTGCTCAGATCAACAAATGGCTTGGGAGGACTGATTCAGTAGTCATGGTTGAAGACTGATGACAAAACTCTGATCAGAATCTTCCTCCTTTAACGGCAGGGTGTAACTGGGGAGATGCAGAACTCAAAGCCTCAGCTGCCGAAAGTGCAGTGATTAAAATCAAGGGCAGATCATTTTTAAAAACATTTGGAATAGTATTAAAGTCACTTCCGAAAGAACTGTGGATGCTGAAAATCAGAAACAAATAATAGAAATTGCTAGAAAAGCTCAACATCTGTGAAGAGAAATCAGAGTTAACATTTCGGGTCAAGTGAACCTGTTCTGAGGAAGAATCATGGGGCCAGAAACGTTAACTTTTGGAATTTTAAATGTAAGGCATAAAGCTCTTATGGTGTGATGGTCATATCCCTATCTCTGAGCCAGGAGGCTTGAGTTCATGTCCCACTTGCTCCAGAGATGTTTCATGACATCCTTGCGTAGGTTGATATAGCAAATATCTAAATATGATTTCAGTCATAAAGTATGTTAAGTAACAGATGAATAGGAGTTGGTGTAAATTAAGATACGGTGGTCAAACTTTAGCTCAAGTTTTAAGGCTTTCTACCATAGTTGAACTTCTCTCTTTATTTTATTCTTTGCTGTTCTTTATATTCACATCAGTTTTTTGATCTGTCATTCATTTTTTGCAGAATTATACACATTTCCTTTTAAGTTTGATTTTAAATTTAATTTCCTTATTTAGACATAGCTAGTGTGTCCTTCACTCTCAATTATTCTTTCTCATCGGTTTGTGTATTTTCTGAGTATTTTGAAATATCTCCTTAAATATCAACCATTGTATCTTGACTGATTTATCTCTTAATGTATTTTTCCAGTTCACTTTAGCCAGCTCTATCTTCATGCCCTCATAATTGCCCATGTTCAAGTTTAAAACACTAATTTTACATCCAACTTTCTGTTCCTCTAATTAATTGGAAAATTAAGTCACACGGCATGGTGGCTCAGTGGTTCGCATTGCTACTTCACAGTGCTAGGGGCCCGGGTTCAATTCCACCCTTAGGTGACTGTCTGTGTGGAGTTTATACGTTCTCTTCGTGTCTGTGTGGGTTTCCGCAGGGTGCTTTGTTTTTCTCCCACAGTCTAAAAATGTGCAAATTGGGTGGATTGGCCACGTTAAGTTGCCCATAATGTTCAGGGATGTGTAGGTTAGATGCTTTAGCCTGGGAAATGCTGGGTTACAGGGATAGGGTAAGGAGATGGGTCTGGATGGGATGTTCTTTGGAGAGTTGGTGTGGATTTGTTGGGCTGAATGGCCTGCTTCCGCACGGTAGGGATTCTAAGACATTGTGATCACTGGTACATAAGGATAACTTTACTATGAGGTAATTAATCAATTCTGTCTTATTGTACAATTATAGCTTGGTATAATTTGGTATAGCTTGTTTTCCAGATGGCTCCAGAACATGCTGTTCTGTGAAATTGTTCTGAAAACACACTACAAACTCAAGCAAGCTACCCTTGCCAATCTGATTTGTCCAATCTATATTTGGATTAATATCACCCATGAGTATTGCCACGCGTTTCTCACAAGCCACTATTATTTATTCCCACGTACCTTATCCTAGAGTGTCGTTACTGATATGGAGCCTATAAACGACT